ACGTGTTTCCCTATTTAAAGCCCCGATGATCCCTACAAACTCACACAGCAAATCCGCGCGCAGTAGCAACATCTTCCAACATTGAAAGATCCCTGTCCAGTTCATTAGCAATGGCCAAAGCCGTCGCCCTACTCCTTGCAGCCATCGCGGCATCGGCCGTGTTAGTGCAAGTGGAATGCGACGCCCCCGTCGAGAAGAGCTTCAACAAGGCCCTCCTCGCCCCTGTCGATAAGCGCTTGGATGAGGCAACTCAGGCCATCAACGAGGCCGCCGACTCCGTTGTGGCTGCTGCCCCACCAGCAAAAAAGGATGAAGTTGAAGCTGCCACGTGGAAGCGGAGAATGTTCGCCTTTGCTGCTCTCGGGATGGCCCAAGGAGATGAGAAGAAAGTTGCTGCAACTTCACTTGCCTACAAGAAAGCAGCTAAAGCTGTCCTCGATGCCGCCCCAGCTGACAAGTTTAAGTTGATGGATGAATCCTTCAAAGTGGCTGCTATGGAGGTAATCGCATCATGAGCCACACGCCAACCTTCAATAAAGGTCTACTGCTACACCGCCGACATTGGTAGACGACCGGACACGTACCGAGTATCAACGGTTATTTATGTAATAAATGTCGTGCAATCAATTCTACTCATTCCATTCTCTCCATTTGTAAGAGCACCAGGTGGAAAAAAAATAATCCGGTGCCATCTAACATTTCTAGTTCAAAATGTCGATCCTTGGCACTTGGCGGAACTTTTTTTTTTCCATGAAATCCTTTGAATGATTCTTTAAACAAAAGTATGGAGTAAAAATATCTTATGTAAGAAATAACATAAACCGGACCAGCTTGCGTGCATCAACGCTTCGATATATGCACACATATAAGACTGTTGTTGGGCGGCTGTTATTTGCCGAGATTCCATGTAAAATAACCATAGGACTTGTGACGAGATCTTTCGGTTTGCCCAAAACCTCCATGTCAAATATCCCGCTTCCTAGGCATCTTGCATTTAGATAGGTTGCAAACCGCCTTGAATCAAAAGCACAACTGCGCTAGCCTCCTTGTTTCAGCCGCTGGACCTATTCAAAGAGTTAGCCAAAGAAATATTTATGTACGTAGCTCCCTATTCGGCGTGCCCTTCACTAAAACGGGCATGATTTTTTTCATCCGAATTCTTTTTAGGACTTACGACAACCCGCCATGTCTTTTTTTTCCGCCATAAGTACCATATGAGCGGCTAAAACTAGAACAAGAGCATCATACCCTGCGGTGTCCAAGTGTAAAGCACTTCCTATCTCAAATACGGCTGCTTCGTCGTAACCCTCGGCGAGTAACATGGCATATTCACATGCATGCAACAAATCAATTTTGGACCGGCCTTGCCACGGTCCAAGTAGGACACCCATTGAAAGAATCGAGCTGAGGTGTCATTATCGAGGAGATCGAGCCCTTCTTCTTCAACTCCGGCCGCCGGCCAACATCATCGATTCCTCGCTCCCGCGTGAGCTTCGGCGCAATTCCTTGCATGTGTAGCATCCTCAGATGGTCTTTGAATCGTTTCCCTCCTCCCTTTGGCAGCCCGAAGGCCAGAAGAGGTTGTCGCCGTCGCTTTGCCGTTTTCCGTCGTCACCTGGAGCATTCCTCAGACCGCCGTCGTCGTCCATCCATCGCCGATTCTCGGACGACATTTTGTAAGTCTCCAGGAGTCCTATAGCCACTCATGCATGCACTCACTCACATAGAATTGAGCCGGAACTAGGTATGCACTGGCATGCCGAGGCTCACCGCCACTCAAGCCGCCATCGCCAATGACTCCGGCCATCTCATCCCGCAAGATCACCACCGATGGCTTCGCCGTCGTTCCCTCTTACTTTTCTCTTTTGGCTGCGAAGCCTAGTTCGCCGCCGTTCACCGCTGGCAACGGCGACAAGTTCACCGGCCGCCCTGCCTCTGCTCCCTCCAGTACCTCCTCACTGACATGCGGGACCCACATGATTAGGCCCTAAGAACTCACACTAGTAAATGCTTAAAACTTGTGAGGTTGTATTGTTAAATACCTAGAGAATGACATGTGGACCCAAGGACATGCATGTAAATAGATTAAAGCTCAAGAACTCTTAATAAAGATACTTTTAACATGTGCTAAGGACTTCGGATTATATTTCTTAGAACTCTAGGGACTTTTCTACAAAAGATCTCTCACTGACCAGTGGGCCCTATGTGTTTAAAATCTGGAAAAATATAAGGAAAATGACTAGAGTAGATATTTTACAATTGAAAACTTGCCCAAACTAGTAAAATACATATAAAATCCATTTTAGCTCATTTTTAGATGAATCAAATTTCTGTGAACTCATCAAATTATGAACTTTAATTTAGAAACATAAAACTTGGCACTTACAGTAGAAGAAATAGCTCTAAAAATTCATATAAGAAACAATGAACATAGAGCACCCTCCAACTTATAAAATTTGTAGAAAATTCACCTTAACTGTTTTTAAATGAATTAAGTTCCAGAATGTTCACAAAATCATACTCTCATTTGTCATGAACTAAAACTTAGCACTCTCTGTAATAAAAATGTCACCAAATGTTTATTTAATAAAATCTATAAGTAATTCATTTTAACTCCAAATGTGCAAAACTAAAATTTATTAGTTTTATAGAGGCATGTACATTAGTCTGTAAATAAGTCTTAGAAGAAAACATATCTAGAAACATCACTAAAATTTGAATAATGAGTTAATATTAAAGAACGGTTTAGAAATTTCTGAAATTCGTATCAAAATGAATACAACTCCAAATGAGGTGATTCAGTTCTGTTAGATTGGCAAAATCATGTACTTAGTTTTTATAAAATAAAATATGGCACTTACGGTACCCAAAACATATCTAAAATTTGAAATAACTAATAACTACTATAGCATATCACTTAGCTTGAAAAATTTATAATAAACATATCACTTAGCTTGAAAAATTTATAATAAAATCATTTTAACTCTAAAAGTTATGAAACCAATTTTGTTGTACACCTAAGAACATTACCTTCACTGCAGCAAGCCAACAATTCATAAATCATGGACCTAAAATGCACCTAAAGGATAATAGAGCTTAATTAATCTAGTGCTAGTATTAAACTTTGAAAATTAATAACTCTCAAATGCAAAATGATAAAATAAAAATTCTTTCACCTAAATTCATCTTAGACCAGCACTAACCACACTAGTAAACTCATACATTTTAGAGCATTTTAGATTTTTGCATGTTTTGGCATTTATCGTTACCGTTATTTCTTTTAGATGGCAAAATCGTTATCGATGAGGGGTCCGACATGAACTTTATCTGAACAAGGAGGATGATAATGGGCTCTGCCGAAAGATGAAGGACCCTAAATGGACTTGTACAGAGGGTTGAAGTATTGGGCCTGGTCAGAAAATAGGGGAACTTCGATAGACTTTTACTGAGAAATTAATTTCTCTGGCCTAGAAAGAAAAGGCAGGTAAGCTAGACTTCTATAGAAGGATTAATGTCTGGGCTTGAACAGGGAAGTAGAGGGGGTCGAATATACTTTTTAGAGGGAAGATGGTGCACAGGTAGGAATAGTCCTATTTTTATTTTTCTTTTCCTTTACTAGCAAAATGCCCGTGCTTCGCTACGGTGTATTGAACTAAAAATATTTGTTTTTAAGCGAAGTTATTTTCCCACTGTTTTGGTATTTTTTTGCTCGCTAGAAAAAGTCTCAAATGATAGAGAGAAATATAGTACCTCATAATAAATTATTATTCAATAGTGCGTTGCAACGGGAAAAATTAATATTATTAACTTAGTAAAGTAATAAAAAAAGAGCATCCACGTTAGCTCTTATAGTCTAGAAATTCTCATATTAATATTATTTAATTTTAGTCTAAATTTAAATTCTATATCATGACAAATAAACAATTACATTTTTAGTCGAAAAATAAATCAATATCTTGAGAAAACTCTAGCCAAATTTTTAGTTAATTCAGTTTAGTTGGAATTAAATTAATAAGCAGTAATAAATAATTAAAATGGTACTAATGCTATTTCTGAAAATACAAAGATGCTTAAAATTACTGAGAGAGAAAACACTAATTTTATCCCATCCCAAACTTACAGGCCCATTTGGAGGCCCAATAGTGCGGCGGCCCAATGTGAGAGGAGCCGAAGGCGTCCGATCGAATGGACGGTCTAGATTGATCCCAACCTATAAAAATATCTGCAGCCAAAACCCTAACCCTAAATTTCATTTCCTCCCTGCCCCCGATCCCCTCTCTCTCTCTCTCGATCGAAAAGCGACGACGGCGCCCCGACCCCCCACGAGCGACTGTGGCGGTGCCCTTCCCCCACTCTCCACGAGCCGCTGCGGCGGTGGCCTCCCCCCAACGAGCGGCTGCCACGGCGTCCTCCGCCCCGTCTCACCTCCCTCACCGGTAGCCGCTCCCTCCGGCCCATCTCGCCTCCCTCTCCCTCTCGTCTCCTCTCGCAGTGGCGGCGGGTTGGCGGCGGATTTGAGGATGGTGGTGGCGTCGACGGCAGGTGTGGGCAGATCTAGCGGCGGCGGCTCCCTCCGCCCCCTCTCAACTCCCTCTCGCGGCAAATCCGGCGGCGGTGGCTGGATCCGTCGGTGGTGGCGGCAACCGTGGGCGGATTCGGCTACTATATTTTCCTCTATCATTTGAGACTTTTTCTAGCAAGCAAAAGTACCAAATCAGTGTACAAATAACTTCGGTTAAAAATATATATTTTTAGTTTTAATACACCGTAGCGAAGCATGGATATTTTGCTAGTAAGATAAAATGCACGGTAGATGAAGAGTCGATTTGGCCAATTAAAAACCTACTTATTCATCTGCTTTGCTGCATTGAGATTTGTGAAGATAGAGCTGATTTCTGTAATTTCTTACGTGGGTCCAACAGGTGATGCTAGCGGTGCACTTCGTTTTTCTGCTGCACACGCGTCCACCCGAGCCGAGAGCCCGAGAGAGCGGCGCCTCGAATTCCTCGATTCTTCCGCCCCGCTCTTATCCTTTCCCTTTCCTTCTCCAATCTCCACCGCCCGCTTATTTCCTTATCTCTTCCGCACGCGCTCCTCTCAGCCGGCGACGCCATCCCTCTCCCTCCACCAACGACGCCGCTCCCCCTCCTGCTTCCCTCACCAATGACGCCGCTCCCCATACCCCTTAGCCGCCCTTTCCCGGCGGCCGGCGCCCTATCCTTATCTCCTCGTTTTTCCCGATCAATTTCTCTTCCTCTCACTCTCGGTCTTTCTCTCCTCCGCTGCTAGTCCTCTCCTCATTGCGCCTTCTTTCCTTTCCCTCTTTTTCTTCTTCTCTCCACACTTCCACAGTCGACGACACCCTCCATCTCCGTCCCTCCCACTCCCCCCACGGCGGCGTCGCTCCCTGTACCCCTCAGCCACGGCGCCCTCTCCCCAGCCGACGGCGCCCTTCCCCTGGTAGCGGCGCCCTACCCTTGGCGGCCAGTGCCTCCGCCGCTGCGCCCTGCCCCCGGCCGGCGGCGTCTTTCACCCGGCGAGCAGCGGTGCGCAACGGGCCGGGGAGCGGCGGCCCGCGACCAACTCCTCGGTGTCGGCGGCTCTCTCCTCCCGCGAGCGGCAACGTGCGTCGGCGCCTCTCCGCCCCTCACCTCCTCTCCCTTGCCATAATGCCACGGGAGGGCTCGACGGTGGCGGGCGGTGGCAGGCTGCGGCGCCGGCCCTTCCGGCGGGTAGGGAGGCGGTGGGCAGGGGCGGTGCCCTCCCCTCCGCCGGATCCAGCGGGAGGGAAGGGGCGGCGGCCGGGCATCCCGGATCCAGCGTGAGGGGAGGGGATGGGAGGAGAGGCGGTGGCGACCCGGCGGACGGCGTCCCAGCGGCGGCGGCGCCCTCCCCTCGCCGGATCCAGCGGGAGGGGAGCCAGCGGCGGCCCGACGGCGACGGCGGCACCCTCCCCTTCCTGTGTCGGCATTTTTTTTGTTTTTTTAGGGAAAGTGTCGGTATTTTCTTGTGTTCTTGTTGATAAAAATCTGTTCAATCTGTTCTTGTCTTCTTGTAGTAGTGTTTTTTCTAGGATTTGGGTCCAAATTTGATGCGTACTCGGATTAAGGCGCACGGGGGTAGGCTGTGAAGGCCAGTACCGAGGTTGCCACCGTGACCTTTTTCTTTCTTCGTTTTTTTTTTACCATCGGATAAGGGTTGAAGCGGGATAGATCGCACGCGCGCGTAGGAAGGATTTTTTTTGTGACGGACGAAACGGACGATCGGAAACCTTACGAATTTTTTAAGTAGGTATAGATTTCTATTTTCTTTCTGTTACTCTCGATCCTTCTCTGCTCTGTCTCTGTCTCTGTCTCACTTCTTTCTCTGCCTTTTTCCTTTGCTCTGTCTCTGTTTCTTTTCACTCACAGGAGGGGGATGGAGGCTTGGCACATGGTGGCAGTGGGTTGAGGCCGGTCGGCTCAGTAGGGAAGGGGAGAGAAAATCCACCGGGAGAAATAAAATTGATTCCTAAAAGAAGGGGCTGATTAATAGGTAGTTTTAATTATTTGGGTGATGTGTTTCATACGCTTGGTGAGCATAACAGGGAAGGGAAATGGGCAACTAAATATCCTAAAGGCTACTGCACAATCAACGCAATCAATACAACGCTGCCTCATATAATGAAAATTCGTAACATGAAGCGGATCATGCTCAATACATCGTCTACAGCATGCATCTAAGGTCTTTGATCGGTTAGTATTTGGGTTGACTCTATTATATTATCTATCTCTTCATTCTTAATCCTTATAGGCTGCATAGGATTATTTGAATATTGAGGTGAGTTGAGATTTGATAAATACATTTTTCAAAAATACTTGGGATAGGGAAGAGCAGTAAGAATCTATGCTTTTATCAAAATAATTTTTCGCAAATAATTGTCTAAAGGGTAATGGGCTATACTAAACCAATCCTAGATCTTAATGGTGGTCGCAAGGGTCCTTAGGTCCTGTAGTCGTCTAGCTCAAGTACCATGTCTGTAGGGACCCCCGGTTTTATACACCGGTAATCCCATGTGTTAGGTAGGGAAAACTCCCTGGATCAGTAGGTGGTACACGCATAGCACATAATAACATCACAACTGACATCGTTTACAAATGTTTCTACAATAATAATATAAGGGTAACCTCATTGGGTCCCGAAATAGACCAAGCATGGTCACTTACAATCCAAAATACCAAAGCAATAGATAAGAGTGGAAGCGAAGCAGCGGCGGTCCATCGAACTCCATAAGCAACAACTGGTGAACCTATGGTCCCTAATCCATCATCTTCAACACGTACTTGACAACAGCATGGCATAAATCTAATCGACGCCAACTCCTTTCTAAAAGATTTAATTAAGCAAGGGTGAGTACATACGTACTCAGCAAGTCACCACTACAAGATGAATTTAATGCACACAGGGGTCCAAGGATGGCTTGGTTTATTTGCATAAAGCTAGTTTTCACAATTCATTTCACAAACCTATTGACCTAGCAGTTTGAACTGAAAAACATCGTTATTGTTGAAGTTGTAATTATCCAGGGTTCATCCACCTCCCCAAGCCTCGCTTGGCTCAGTTTACCCTCACATTTCATCTTATACCAACTCCACCATATATATAAAATTATAGGGTTCGTTTTAAGTTTATATCTAGGCCTTTACCTTTCCAACACTGCACTCATCATCACATTCATACAAAACCTACCCGACTTAGGTGCCGCCCCACGAGATCTTCCTAATCCGCCGGTCTATACCCACTAAAGAAATGCGGTCGTACTCTGTTCGTTTCCTGTATAGCTTCCTAAGTCAATCCTTAACTGACCAGGGTCGGCGACTAACCGTTTCCAGACCCACCCATATTCTATTCATGCCGCCTAAGTCGAAATAGTTTTGTTGTATTAAGTTTTAGTTTTCGCAAAAGGTTTGTGTGTGGTGGGTGGCGCTCATGTCTCAACCCGTAAATCATCAATCACTCACATCGAGTGATCTCACATCCATAGTCATCTAGCATAAATATGGAGTGTAAGTATGTCTACAATAGCATTAATAAGCATTGTCAATAATTGACCACATATAAATAAATGACTCAGGTATTCAAAGGCATACAATATGTATAAAGGTAATCAATATCAAGGGCAGGCTACATTCAATTGTAGGTACGCAATTTATAAATAGCATGCGATTTATTTGTAAGCAAAACATTTAGATCAATATGTTTAAGGTAGGGAGCGTAATGACTTGCCTTTTTTTTTTTGAGAGGGCGTAATGACTTGCCTTGCTATCGGTACTAATGGTCTTCGAGGTATCCGCAACAGTTAGACAATTAGAAAACTCCATATGCGATCAGCAATAGAAAACCATATAGAATCCTCCTAATGCAGTACTGAATACCTCAAACTAATTGTGCCATTTGGTAGATCAAGATTTGAGATGAATTCCAGAAGTTGAACGGGTCTAATCGGAGTTACGGTTTGAATTTCCAAAGTCTAAAGGTTTATAAACCGAGGAGGGAGTACCATCGGGAAGGGAGGTGATTTAGACTTTCTGAGAGGACTCTGGGTTGCATAAAGGAGGTAGTGTGGACTCTGGTGGATGTGGGTGGAGGCTATGGTGGGCTCTATCTGGTTATTTCACCTATAGACTTTCATAAAGGGGACATCCTCATGGGTTCGGCCTAGGGAAGTATAAGGAACTTGTTCGGAGGGATGAAGGATCTAGTAGAAGGTACATGTAAGTGACTCCTAATAAGTCTAAAAGTTGGTTTAATAAGGGATTAAGGATGGCTGGCCCACATGTCATTGAGCTACTATAAAAGGGACTAGGAAGATCGTCACTATGCATGAGGGATTGATTAATGAAGGTGCGGCCCGCGTGGGTCCTGCATGTAAGTGTCTCTCTCCCTTTATCCTTCTCCTCTTCTCTTTCTCGGTTTCTCCCTTGTCTGCTTCTTTCCTCTCGTTCTTCTCTAGCGCAGCACAACCACGGAGGCAGTGTTTGGCTAATGGGTTAGGAAAATGATTCCCACCCACTAAAAGACATCTTTAAATCCTAACAATTCATTCATTCTCTTCCATTTAACCCTAACCCTTTATTCATTTCCCAATCCCAATCCCAATCCCACCCTTCATTTCCCATTATCCAAACACACCAGCGAGGGTGGCGAGGCTGGCACGGCGGCGTGTGGCGGTGGCCTAGCGGCAGCGTGTCGGGTCCCAGAACTAATGATTTGGAAACCGACATGTTTAACTGTATCAAGCCCTGGATCGGTAGATTGATACAGGTTCAACAATCTATATCTTCATTACATACATTTGATTAAGGTTTCAAAGGAGATTTCTTTATAAAATATAAGGGTATTTACAAGGTTGTGGCTAACTATTACAGCAAAAGCTATAGAATGACTTAACTCTAATGTTTGGCTATAGACTTAAACCATCTATCTAATCTATACTTGAGAACTAAGTTAGAATGAGACTAACTTGTATGATTGAACTCCCAGCTTCGGTAAGAACATCAAATAGACTCTGAAAAAGTGGGGTTGAAGCAAGGGTGAGTACAACGTACTCAGCAAGCTATTATATTAATCAATAATGAATGCATGAAATGGTAATATTTGTATAGAGCTAGGTTTACTTGCAGAAAGGCTGAAAATGTAGAAGTAGAAAGTCTATGATGTTTATAATGCAACATTATTTAATAAAATTTGGAATTATGTTTCTAACCAAGATGCCATTGTGAGTCCCAATGCTCGATAACTGCGAGCACGGCTATTCGAATAGTTTTAAGAATATTCATACTGCAGTAGATGTACGCGTTACCCGCAATCCATGACGTGCCAAACACATTAGCCTTGTCATGGCAAAGCTTTTCGGTTACTAACATCAGTGGTACCTGTTCCATGAACTCTAGTCCCCATGCGCTCTGAACGTAATGTTATCAGCAGCGAGAGGAGTTCTGGCGTTCCCGAGGTCTTTAGAGAGAACTGATTGTATGACACCATGTCATCACAGGGTTCACAAACAATTTGTGCACAATTCATCTCATATATTTACTGCGCCTCGGTAAATATCACAATTGCCCTTCGCGGCATAAATTTGCCTCCTGCGCGAGGACTTAAATAAGAACCACTACACAGAGGTACCACCTTTGCTAGATAACTTAATCAGCTAGGTCTATGCCCATACAAGAATTGCGGTCGTACTCGTATGTTCTTCACATGTACTTGGCAGTCTTATATCGGTTGGAACAGTACTAGCCACCCGGAAATCAACCATTTCTACCGTACTGTTCCAATCTAAGTTCATTATATTTTATGCAGTCTAACTAAGCATGGCTAAACAAAATCTAGCATATATCTGGTTTGCTATATATTCAGGTTATGCATTCAAAATCATATATGGCTAATGCATAAGATACTAGAGATATAGAATATAGGATTATTATGCTCAAAGGGGAGGAATAATAACTTGCCTTGCTCCAACGCAAATAAATCCAAGATAGACAACCTGATTATCCGATCCTCGAAATACCACAGGTTGTCATCCAAAATACAATAGACTCTACTTGAAGAAGAGAAAGAACTAAATTCAATAAAAGCCATGAAATGTCAAAAGAACAATAAACGGCTAGAAGGGCTAGGGTTTAGGGTATAAATATCTCCTTTATAAGGTATATAGGTTATCGGGCTTATATTAGTTATATGATTTCTAAAGGGTTTGAGGCTAAGGTGAAGGGAGGATCAAGCAACTAATGTTGCTTATATTTTATGTGAAAGCTTTGATTGGTTGGAAGGATGGGAAGTAGCTAGTTTGGATAGTTGTCTTGGTTAGGCGGGTATGTGGCTAGCTAGGATTTGGTGGTGGTAGGTTCAGGTAGTATCATATCTAGGGTTTGGTTATATGGGAGTTAATTGTGGTGTAAGACAATATATCGGCTAGGTTCTATATTTTATGTATGGGTTCTGGTGGGTGTAGAGTAGGTGGCTGAGAGTATGGTGGATAGGCGATACTGGTGGGTGTGGGACTTATCAGACGGTTGGAATTTAACTAACAAGGTGTCCGCTAGAGTTTGGTTGTATACTAGTCGATGCTAGAGCATAACGACTAGATTTGGTGTCTTCTATAGCCGGTGTCAGCAGACAGCATATCGGCTAGAGGGAATAGGAGGTGGGTGCAGGTTTAGTAGGGCGGAAGTGTTACTCCGACAACCGTGAGTGGCGGCGGAGCGGCTAGGATCACACAGAGCTCGAGAGCTAACTGTGCGGCGTGCTGTGGAGGTCGATGGGATAGTGAAGCTCCGACCGCTATACGCATCGAGGCGTGGGGTGCCAGGAGCAGCACTTCGACCTTGGGTTTGGTTTATGCCGGACTTTACAACCAACGGTTCGACGTCGGGGATAGAAAAGCGCGAACGTCCCCATGAAAGGCATAAAGTTCCAAGTTCCAGTCGGCGACTTTTTAGTGGCTAAGGGGTAATTGGGATGAAAGAAAATATTTGAAAAGTCAAATATAAATTCAAACGGTATTTGAATATATTCAAATAAAATCTTAAAATAGCAAATTTGATATCAAAATGTAGATTTTGAATTTAGATGAATTTAGGTCCAAGTTTCACTGGAATCGGACCTACGGTTTAGGAGATATGGGCTTCTAAAGAATAGAATTTGCATTAAATAGG